TATTGTATAATACATTAATATTAATTTTAGTTGATGAGGGCATTTTCTCTTTACAAAGTATCTTCATCATCTGAGCTTTTTTCTTGATCTTGATCAGAAATATCAGTAATGTCTTTTTTATTTTTTTATATTTTGATCATAATTTTTTTATGAATGACAAATCAAATTAAAAATATGTTGTTAATGGAAAATTTGTTCTAGTGGGTTGTGTTTGTTCAGTTGAGTATCAAGCAACTTTATTCCAGAATTTGTTTGAATACAGAATTGTTTGAGTACCAAGATAATGCTGTATTTTATTTGTCATTTTAAAAATGATTGCTAAATTCATACCTACAGTTAAAAAAGTTTAATACCACTTATCTAAAAATGTTTAAATAAACTTTCCTAAATACAAAGATGAATCTATAAAAACAAAACAGTGGGTCTTAAAGGTAAAATCTGAAAGCAACAACAATGACACCCAGTTGATAGGAAAGCTAGGACAAGGAAAAAAAATTTTAGTATCAGTTTTCATTAAAGTAAACCTAATGAAAGGCACAAACCAAATTGAAAATTTTAATATTGTAAAATCCATGGGCAAACTTGAGATAACATGCATGCTTACTTGAATAAAAAAAAAATTGAAAAATGGAGTTTACACTTAAAAATAGTGAAATTTTGTACAGAAGATTTTCTAAACTGTGTTAGAGCAAAAGCGGAAGGGCTGTTGTATGGGGGGATATCCCCAATTTTCAAACTCTGTTAGGGTGAAACCATGTTGTAAAAGTGCCATGTTGTATGAGGGATACCTGTACTTAAAGATTACATATTAAAACAAATTTAAACAATTTACAATTAACATTAATCATATTTTCTTATTTTTTATTTTTTAGTTATCGTTTTCAAAAGAAGAGAGTAACTGTTGAAGAAGGAGTTGTGTCTCAATTGAATTTTTCTATGGAGAGTGATTTGATAAATAAATCAAATTCTGCAGTAAATGATGATAATCCAATATTTACTACCACCATTAACACAAATTCTTCAGAATTTACAACACCGATAATTCAGAATAATACACTAGTAATTGATGATGATTTTATAAATCCTCCCAAATTTCAATATCATAACTATACTGAATTGGTAGAATTTTTAAATAATATTTCAAAAAATTTTCCTCACATCACAAGACTCTATAGTATTGGTTTATCTGTAGAAGGAAGAGAATTATTTGTGTTGGAAATCACAGATAACCCTGGAATGCATGAACCAGGTAAAACTAGTATTTGATTAAATTGATTTGAACTCTTTTTAATACATAGAAATTGATTTGAACTCATAACTGCTTCAGTAGATCACTTGATCAACTACATACAACCTTCTATTATTAACAAAAATGTTTATTAAAACTGATGCTGTTAGCTTTTCTAAATTTGTTTGATTTTTGAATAGCAAACTGGACATAGATCATTAAATATGACTAAAAATGATAGTTTTAAATATTTTTGTTGCTATACAAGGTTGTACAGTACATAGTTGATTGAGTGATTTGAATTTTTTTCATAATATAACATTACAAAGTTTTTTAACAGTAAAACTTGAAAATTATATTAAAAAATCTGCAATATTTAAATTTAATTTAATTAAAAAAATGTCTATAGTTTGTTTTAAATACATTGGCACATAATGTAAATAAACCAAGATCAAGTAACTTTTAGCATCACTTCATCAAAGAAGTTTGGTTCTTTTTAACCAGACAAAATTCAAACCAAATAAAAGTAAAATATTCATTAAATAAAAATAAATATTCATTACAGTTTAAACCAAAATATATTTTTAATTATCATTTTAATATGTAGAAGAAACACTAAATTAAAAAGTAAAGTGTACTTATATTTATATTTTGTCCTCCATATTTTTGGGAACCAATAGTGGTGTGACGATGACCTCAATAGAAGTAGCCTTTTCGTTGAGGCTCTAATATATATATATTATAAATTATATTTTTAAGTGNTATTTCTATTATAGTGCATGTGTTTATGCTTTGTGTTGCAATCTGCATGTTATGCAAGCATTTTACATGTAAGAACATAATTCAATTAACATCTTAATTTCAAAATTATACATTTTTTAAGTCTGTTATAACTGGACTAATTTTAATAACATATATGATAAACTTGGTAGAATCATATTGGCACTTGGAATAACACTATAATTTATGTTCTGCACAATACCACTAAAAGGTTGCCGACCACTGATCTAAAATAATATGTCTGGAAGTGAAGATTGCTTGGAGGTCTGGATAACATCACTGGTAATGCATCTGCACAGTATGCAGAGCACATAAGTTTGAACCCTGTTCCAGGTTAATCTTTTCTTCTAGGAACATCAGATTTATTTAGTTCAAAATTAATTATTAATAATAGCACAAGATGGCAGCCTCTCTGCCTATCTTTAAACCAAATTTTGTAATTTGATTACTCATTTAAAAGTGCAGTTTTATCTATTTAATAACCCATAAATAATCCAATAATTAGAATTTTGGTTAAATGTTCACTATCAATATGAAACTAATTTCTCTATCAATATGCTATAAAAAATTTTTTTCATTTTTATTTAATTATAATATGTATGTTAAAAGTGTCAAGTGTTTTTGCTATTACAATTTTTTTTCCAGAAAACATAGAGCTTGACATTTGGTTTGTACTAATAAAAAATTAGTATATCAAATACTAATACTAAAACAATGGATAAAATATATTCTTTGAAGTATACAATAAATGATAGTAATAAACTTTGTTATAAATAAAGGATAAAATTTTCCTGAGTGATAATATAATCAAATTTGAGGAAGAAAAAGTTTCAGTTATTTTTTTTTGAGGCTTATTGAATATATAAATACATTGTGCAAAAATAATGATAATCATCACAACTAGCATCTTACAAAATTTATGATTGTTGTGCAATGGTATAGAACAGGGGTGGCCAAGCTCCTTGATAGTCCGAGCCATTTTTCAAAATTTGAAATTTTTTGCGAGCCGCAATTAAATATGTATTAAAAAGGTATGCAAAAAATTCCAGATTACAAATTATATCCATAGCAAAAGTGATACAAATTGCTTCCTCCAGAGCACAATGTCAACTGTCCGTTGCAATGACAGTTTACAAATTCAAAATTGGTCTGGAGTCGGACGATTACGCCACTGTTTATGTTCGTTTGCGCAGTTTTTGATGAGTCATATCATTCTTAACTTGGACGGAAATGAAATTTGTTACAACGTTGCACTTAGTCTTTCATATTTGTTGTTAGTAATTTAAAAGACATTTTGAAACATATACGGAACAATAATAATTTTTTAAAATATAACAACACAAAAATGAAAAGGGAACTCGAGAGCCACAAATAATCCTTCAAAGAGCTGCATGTGGCTCGCGAGCCGCAGGTTGGCCACCCCTGGTATAGAATATGACATTTCTTTTAATTACAATAAAGTTTTAAAGACATCAAATTTATTATTTTAGAAATTCAATACTGTTTCATTATTTTTATTCTAGTTTTAAGTTTTCAATAAACTAGCACTTTTTAATTGACTGGGCATGGATTACACTTTGGGAACACTGTGCTAGACTTGAAGAAAATTGTTTTTAGAAAATGTGTACCGAAATTTTCTATAAGTGGGAACTGAAATGTGTTACAACCAACTTAAGCTAACATTGCCAATGCCACTTAGATATTTGAGTGTCAATTTTATATTTTATATTAATTCTAATAATTTTATTTGTTTTTGACTAAAAATTTAAAATAAACTGTAAAATAAGTTGAATTTAACATAATGATAAAGATCAAGTGCAGTTGATATTTGTTAATACTTCAGAAAAATTCTTTAGGATACATTTCTATCTTATTTTTATAAGCTCATTTAAGTTTATTATTTTTGTGTTTGATTTATACATGCATTAAACAAAAGTAGAAATCTACTTTTGTTTATAACATATTACTTAAATGATTTTCTGTTTCACTTAACTTAAATTTTATGTTCCTAGATATAAAATAAATAATATATGCAGAAAGTATGTCTAAAGCAGGGATTCTTAATATTTCTTGTGCCATGGACTCCCTTAGAAATCCGATAAAGCCTATAAACTCTTTTTCATGTCTTAAAATGCTTAAAGTAAAATACATAGAATTATAAAGGATAGGGATATAAATTATGTTGAAATACAGTTATTAAAAGAAATTATGAAGAAGTGATATACATGCAACTTTAATGTAATATAAAAATATCTGTTTTGTATTGATAAGTCATAGGTATTCTAAAATCTGTTGTGCTGGTACTATTGTAGTTTATTGTATACATTCAAAATTAAAGAAAATGTTAATTTTCAGTTAGAGGTTAGTGAAAATAAAAATATAAATTTTTTCTCATCAAAGTTTAAGTATCTCCACAGATCTCAGATTAAAGGCTGATTTATGTGATGATTTATGAAACTAACTACACCTACATTTTGTTGGTTCAAATTGCAATATGCCATATGTAGATAATTTTGTGATTTATTGTCAATCTTGATCTCACCCTATTGGCTAATAGATTGAAGGCAAATTTCAGTTAGTTTGCATTCAATCTTTGAGTGTTTTGAGTTTTGAAGATAATAAGTTTTGTAAGATAAAATTGTAAAATTGTCAATAGTCTGGACCTGTTTCTTTTATTTAAGTACTAGTAGCCTGGGACGCCTCCTAGTGGGCGTTATTTACAAATTTCTATGAGGCACGGTTCCTTTGACTTTTTTGTTCCTATCAATATGCTGTACAGCTCTGTTAAAGTCCCAATGGTAAGATTTACCTTCTGAATGAAGAGGTGGCGACCCCCCCAAACTGTAGCCCCTGTGCTAACAATAAAGTCAAAGGAACCATACCCCTACTCGCAACCCTTCGCGAGATATAAGCCCCTGAAATAATAAATTCCTATTACAAATATACTGAATTATTTATATTGTTATATTGACCAAATAATAATTTATGGGCCAAATGAATAATAATCTATATATATAAAACTCAAAGGTGACTGACATAATGATCTATCAACACACAGCCCAAACCACTGGACGGATCGGGCTGAAATTTGGCATGCAGGTAGATGTTATGATGTAGGCATCCGCTAAGAAAGGATTTTGATAAATTCCACCCCTAAGGGGATAAAATAGGGGATGAAAGTTTGTATAAATCTTCTTAGATTTTCGACTGATTGAACTGAAATTAAAGATTGGAGCTACTATGATGAAGACGTCCGCTTAAATAGGATTTTGATAAATTCAACCCCCATGGGGGATGTAAATGTATTAGTTTGAACCTATCAGTACCTAATGGAACGAATAAATTAAGACGAACAAAATAATTTTTAGTTCTAAATGTTGACAATAGATGGCGTTAGTAGTATTTTAAAACACGCTATCATTGTGTTTTCACTGAGTTACACATACCCGATGATGAGTGGCCGCCGTATCTAATAGTACATACTATACCTAAATATTTCTAGTGGATTATATTTGACGGGGGTTAATTAGGTATAGTTTTTGCGGGGATTATATTGTACCCTTTGTACATAGTTGTACAAAGAAGTTTTGTAGGCCCTAATTTTTTACACACGCTAAACGAAAGTAAAGCCGCAAAAACTATACCTAATTAATAATAATACTTCTTAACGCGAGCGAAGCCGCGGGCAAAAGCTAGT